TTAAGAACAGAGAAAATATACTATTAGTTTCATTTTAAATTTTCAGTTCTGTGAATGGTGAAGGCTTAGCTGGAAGCATGTTTACATGTATTTAATTCAGCTTTACAAAAATCTTTTGAGGCGAATAATTCAATGCTTTAGAAAGCAAAGAAGGAAGATGTACGAGAAAAAAAAAGGTGCCTGGAGCTAAATTATAAGATGTTCTAAGACACATGGGGACAGAGACAGAGAAAAGTTCTTTTCTTATGACAGAACGATCGAAAGGTTAGCCAGTGGACTTTCAGAGAGAACAGAAACAAAGTTGCTGGAAAAGATCAGCAGGTCTGGCAGCATCTGTGAAGGAAAAAATAGAGTTAACGTTTCGGGTCAGGTGACCCTTCCTCAGAACTGGAGAACTTTCAGACAGAAGCTGATCATTTACAAATCAAAAACTTCTGGCACTAGACGTGCAGTTCAGCAGTCTCCAAAACAATCAGACAAAGAGAAATGTGGTAGTAAGGGGAAAACTTAAGAAATAGAATAGTGGAGAAGAGGAGTTTAAGGAACCTAAGCAAAAAATAAATGTGCTGCGTTAACAGTTTCTTTAAGGGTCTCGTGAAGAGATATATTAATCGTGTGAATTCAGACATTTCCGTGAAAGAAGGAAAACAACCATAGGCCTAAGCAACTAAAAAGGAACTTTATAATGGAAGCAGGGACCCGTCAGTGAAGTTTTATTTCTCCCAGTATCTGTGAGGTAGTTGTTGTGGGCAAAAAAACTTGGAACTTGATTTTTTAAGTCTGTATTAAGACTGATTCACGAAGCTATTGTATAGTGCAATATATTTGTGATTTCTTTTCCCCTTTCACCTAAACAAATAATTGAGAGACACTGTTCGTTGCTGCATTCCCATGGCATATCAAAACAATCAGAGTTAATTTGCCATTTTATATGTAAATAAAAGCTTTTAGGTAGCTGTTTGCTTGTGAATTTTACATGACAACATCTTACCCAGTCAGGGTCCACTGACCAGCTAATCAGTGCTCGTTCAGTGCAAATTGTTATTATTTTCAAAAGTTGTCATTGTTGCATCTGTCTTGTTTAATGAAATTTGAATAGTGCATTTTGACATAACGCTGGCATAACAAGTCCAACAAAATCAGCCCAATATCACAGTGAAAGTAAAACATTCAATGACCCTCAAAATTGCTCAGTTGTTACTAACCTGATATTACAAATAGTCGATCTTACTCATCAAGTTTACAACTTAATCAAAAATTAACAACTTAGTATTAAGTATATAATATTAGTAAAACATTAATAAACTACAAGAAATAAAAACTAATTCATATCTTTGATCTAAGCTGAATATTCTTTTGTCATAAATCCCGATGCAGAGACAGACGAGCGGACATGGTTAAGTGACTTTTTTCTTTAAAAAAAAAAGAAAATAAAAGAATCATATTTTTCTAGTTCGATGAACATGTCAACAGTGAATACCAGACCTTCACAAAACCCTTGAATGATAAGTTGTATTATGGGCACGAAGGACTGCATATCTTGCTTGAATTTCAAAGTCGTTAGTCAATGCAAACAAGTTCTGCAGCCATCTGGAGACTGCTGATAACTGGAGAATAACTATACAGAGCAAAACCAAATGCCACCGTAAAAATGCCTCCTACCCATAACAGAGACAGAAACAGCTAACTCATTTTATCTGCTTCCTTTTTACTTTCAACATTCTTTACGGTTGTCTGGCAAGTACCGGTCGTCCCTTGGTTGACCAATTTAACATTCATCCAGCTGCCAGACACTGGGCACATCCCTGTGCCAGTTCATCTACAGTGTCCTTAAAACAGTAATTAGCCTGCATTATCTTTTCAGACCTGTTTCCAACAGCCATCATCCGTCTTTTGTTCTCTCTTCCTTTTCTTTAGGAAAAGAACAAGGTCGAAGTTCAAAGTTCAATTCACAAGTTTAACACAGAGTTCCAAAACCAAAATTAGGCAAAAAGATGAAAATAGTGACACTCTCAACAATCTATTTTGTCCGTGCTACTCAGATTAAATACTACAAAACAACTAATTTTTGTGAAACAGCATAGTTAGGAGAGAGGAGGGCTTTCCCCAATTTGGATATTGTTAGTATTTTTTTAATCATTAATGGGATGTGGCATCGCTGGCTAGGTAGCATTTATTGCCCATCCCTAATTGACCAGAGGGCAGTTGAGAGTCAACCACGTTGCTGTGGGTCTGGAGTCACATGTCGGCCAGACCAGGTAAAGATGGCAGTTTCCTTACCTAAAGGACATTAGTGAACCAGATGGGTTTTTCCAACAATCGACAATGGCCATCATTAGGCTCTTAATTCCAGATATTTATTGGATTCAGTTTCCACCATCAGCCATGGTAGGATTCAAACCTGGGTCCCCAGGACGTTATCTGGGTCTCTGGATTAACAGTCCAGTGATAATACCACTAGCATGGCCTCCCCCGAACCTGATACGCACTCCAGACACTTAGCCAATGTTACATCTGAAGTTGATTGAATCAAATTGTGTGAATGCTGGCAAGTGATGTTGATGAATTCTGGAAGATCAGTACTTATGGATAAAAATGTTTTCGTGGCATTTGTCTTGTATTTTGCAGGCATGTTCTGCACTAGCTTTCACAAAAAAATGGAAGTATTTAAGTAGCATCCTTTGCCATTTGTTGATTAGTTTTCCCCAACATGCAGGAATTTACACTTGCATCTCAACCATTGTTCATGGGAACACTTTAAACTCTCTCTCCAGCTATTTTAATAAACCTGTTCATTTATGTTATGAAACATGTCCGAAGTAGGTTGGACTTGAACCCAGGATTTCTAGCTTAGAGGTAGAGAGACTACCACTGCGTCATAAGAGCCCTGAATCGTTCTTTATAGCACGCTGCTTCTTCTGATAATACAGCAGTGAGACAAGCAGATAATGCTGCAACTTACATCATCAAAGAACTGGTAATTGCGACATATTCTGTATATCTATTTCATAAACAGTTGGAAGATCAAAGCTCTGCATTCTTGGGATTGAATTTACAATACCTCTGACTCTATTAATGATAGTCATGCCCTATACTCATCACTTGTCCAATGTTAATTGAATTATTTCAAAGTGACTCAAACTTGACACTACTGTTGTTTCATATTTACATGATTTCAAGTTCTTTATTTCCCGAAAAGTAGAGGACTCCTTCGATACTAAGGGATAAATAGATTTTTAACTGCCCAGGTATCTCAGGTACTTAGGCTGAGAAAACAAAATATGAGCTCTCTATGTTCAGGTCTCAAACATCCACTTGGCCATGAAGTGCCACTTTGTCTTTTCCATATACAGCAAAATAAGTCACCAGAACCTACAAATTCTAAAACCAGGATTGTAGCATTCAACTTAACAGGAAAGCACAAGTTGAGAATGTATCACAAGATGACAGAATTTCTTCAACTAATTTTCTAGTATCTGCTGAGCTTCATTCCTCCTACTTCACTGTTGCAGAACCTTTTTTTCACCTTGAACACTTACCATGTGAATTATTCTGTCCAGCAATTTGTACATATTCGGTTAAATAAATGTTGCCATATTGTACATTTGGCTGAGCTGAGAATCTGTAAATTTGAATGTTGTTGCAGTGATGAAAGTACAGTTTCAAATAAGTTGTCTCTCTATATGACGTGTGACTAATATATGTCAATGAATATCTACTCCCATCAGACAAAGAAATGCTAGCTGCAGGCATGCCATTCAAAACTAATTGAAAGCAGAATACTTTGAATGTTTGGGGGCTTGGAATAAAAGAAAGAAAATGTTGGTAATTGCTTTGAGCAGTACCTCTGAAGACAGAAACAGAGAAAAGTGATGTATTTCAGGTATCATGTCTCCTCTATTCGGTGCTCACGATTTGCTCCACCTGGAGAGACGATTGGAAAGTCCAAATTGATTGGGATGCCACTTTGCAAAATATATCTGTTCCACTGATCATAGCCCTGAACATCCTGTTGCCTGTCCCTTTAAGTTTTCACTTTGCTTTCATTCTCACATCTCTGTCCTTGGCCCACTACACTGCTCCAGCCAAGCTGAAACTAAGCTTGAGGAACAGCACTTGACCTTTCCGTCTATGCACTTTACAGTCTTATAAATTCAACATTGAGTTCAACTATTCCAAACCAAATCTCAGTGACCATATTGTCTTCTTCACATTGTTCATTACTGCTACGTTCCTCCCTGCCCTTCTCCCTTTTTTGTGCTTTCAGTCAGGACCACACCCGCCCTAGGCTAATTTCTGATGTCTTTGACTCTTTTTCTTGCCCATGATCATGTCCTTTCGTTCTGGATTACTCAGTCCTCTTGTGTTCAATCTCTCGTGTATTTCACACATCACTGGTGTTCTTTGTACCCATTCTTATGAAATCACTGTTACGAATGACTGACCCTGTTTTTTCTCCACAGATGCTGCCGAATCTGCTCGTCATCTCTCACACCCTTCTTTTATTTTTTCACCACAGAAAAATTGCTTGGTTTGAAAAATAAACCATATCAGATAATCATATGGGAGACATTTTATGTGGACGCAACATTATATTGCATGGTAATATCAATAGCTTAGCAAATGTTACATTTAATTTACTTGACACTACAGAAGTCAGTAATAAATTACCAACACTACTACATATTTTTACAGATAGGTGGTCGCGAAATTAATTTACTGATGTTCAGAAAGTTATGTTTCTCTTAATTTACATGATGCATAGCTTTAATATGACCTCAGTGTAGTTATAGGCAAAGACTCTTTGTGTCGCTGTCTACCAATAAGGAGAAGAAATTAACTCGAGATCCACCACCCATCCCCCAACACCACGGGACGAACACAGGCAGATTATTGTCGTTCGGACGAATATACCGAGCTACCTCCTGAGAAGGTCTTTTCGCTTTTCAACGTACGAACTTGCTTTGGATGAATTAATTGATAATACCAGGGATAAGAAGTAATGAGGGCCAAAAGACACATCCCTGCAGAGGAAATGACGCACAGAGACGGTTTCTTTCTGGGCAAAAAGACAGCGATACCGTCCATTTTGCTGCTCTGTGTCTGGAACCTGGTTTCGGGGCAGATTCGTTACTCCATTCCTGAAGAATTAGAACATGGGGCTTTTGTAGGGAATATCACGAAAGACTTGGGATTCAATTCACATGATCTCGCAACTCGCAGGATCCGGATCACCCCACAAGCGCCGTTGCAATATTTCGATATAAATCTTCAGAATGGAATCTTATTCGTGAATAAAAGAATAGACAGAGAAATACTCTGCGGGCAGAGCCTTACCTGCTTAATGCCTTTGGAAGTGGAAATTGATGGTCCTGTGGAACAGTATGCCGTCGAGATCGAGGTTATTGATATAAACGATAACTTTCCCAGATTTTCAACCAGAAAAATCCATTTGGAAATTGCGGAGTCGGTCACACCTGGAACCCGGTTTAATTTAGAAGCTGCACAGGATTCTGATGCAGGAAGCAATTCCGTGCAGATGTACCAGCTCACCCCCAACAAGCATTTCTCTTTAGATGTACAGAACCTTGGGAAATGGAAAATACCTAAATTGATGTTACAGAAGTCGTTGGACCGCGAAAAAGAATCATCCCAGCGTTATTTGCTCACTGCTATTGATGGCGGAGTCCCCCAGAGGTCAGGGACTGCTGAGGTAACTATCATTATCTTAGATGTTAATGACAATGCACCAGTTTTCCAACAGTCCTTGTACGCTACTAGTTTAGTCGAAGATGCTAGACCAGGCACTTTAGTCATTAAGCTTAACGCGACAGATTTGGATGACGGGTCCAATGGCGACATTGTTTACTCTTTAAGTGGCTACGGTGAGGAACAAATAGCCGAAATATTTAATATTAATCCGAAATCAGGAGAAATCAGTTTAAAAGGAATATTGGATTTTGAAGAAAAAAATCTTTACGAAATACACGTGGAAGCTAAGGACATGGGGGCGCAGTCATTATCCACACGTTGCATTGTTCAGGTGGACATCAAGGATGTTAATGATAACGCTCCGGATTTGATTCTAAAACCAATTTCCAGCACAGTCAGTGAGAATGCTCCCACTGGGACTTTGTTAGCGATGGTGGGTGTTACTGATCGGGATTCTAATGAAAACGGACGTACAAGTTGCTATATCTCCCCTGATGTCCCATTTGAACTGAAACCTTCATTTAGGAATTCTTACAGACTAACCACGAATGACGTTCTGGATCGGGAACGTGCCCAGGAATTCGCAGTTACCGTGACATGCGAAGACGAGGGACGCCCTCCACTATCCACAAGCAAAACCATGACTGTGCATATTTCAGATATAAATGACAATGCGCCCAGCTTTACGCAGACTTCACATACGCTCTACGTTACCGAAAACAATCCAGCTGGACATTCGATTGGATCGGTATCAGCGTTCGACCCCGATTCTGAACAAAATGCCCAGATATCTTATAGACTTCTGGACACCAATGTTCAGGGGCATCCAGTGTCTTCATATGTTTCAATCAACTCAGAAAATGGCGCTATCTATTCACAACGGTCCTTTGATTACGAGGAGTTGAAAAGTTTTGAGTTCCGTGTTCAAGCTCAAGATGTGGGACTGCCAGTGCTTTCCGGGAATGTAACTGTAAGTGTGATTATTCTCGACCAGAATGACAACGTCCCTGTCATTACAACACCTACGCCAGTGAACTACAGCAAGACAACTGTACCTCGAACTGCGGATCCAGGATTTTTGGTAACGAAGATAATTGCTTCTGATGCTGATTCCGGGCAGAATGCACGTATTTCCTATCAGCTCGTGCAAGCTACTGACTTGAGTCTATTTGCAATTTCACATAATTCGGGAGAAATACGAAGCGTTCGTCGATTTAAAGATGATGACGCGACCATACAAAGACTGGTCATTCAGGTGAAGGACAATGGATACCCATCTCTCTCTGCTAGTACCACGATCACACTCATTATCTCTGAACAAAAAGAAGAATTTCGGTCAGACGTTGGCGATCTTCACCAAGATTTACAACAATCTTCCGATTTGGCATTTTATATAATAATCTCTTTGGGAATAACGTCCCTCTTGCTCCTTATTGTCATAATCGTCCTTGTTATTGTCATTTGTCCGAGCACAGGAAACGCAGGCCGCACTAAGAGTTGTTTCCTGACCAGTTGTTGCTATGCTACAGAATTGGACTCCAAACGCAGAGAACAAAATCCACGTGTCAATCTTCAGGTTGTGCCTGACTCCAAGCTAATTACCAACGTCCTTGAGATTCGAGGAGACGGATCTCTTTCAGACACATACCGTTACAAAATTCGATCAGTACCAGATACAGCTAAAATGGAACTAATGTACTTCGCTCCAGTCAGTCCAACAACTTCGGAAATTTCAGGGAAGAATATCAGAACGTGTGCGTCAAGTCAATCTGCAAAGACAGCGAACAAATGGCCGCATACATCTAACGAAGTGAGTATGATACGTTTCAATAAAACGCATAAAAATATTGAGGCTGCAGCGCAGATCAGCAGCTGGAAGTGTCAGATTTCTTGCAATTCAGATGTTTTCTTTTCACTCCACAGCCTCTATTTTACCCAGGGCTGATTTTGTCCAACTCTCAACTGTATTTTATCAGATTTTATGTTAACTGACATTATTTGTTCTGTTTGGCAAATTGCGCTACAGTGAGATTACGTAATTCGGCTATTAAACATCGGACACCCAAGTGACTACTTTTTCCTGTAAGCTTTTGATTTATCACAATCTGACATTTAATTTTGTTTGCGTTGACTGTCATCTAGTTCGATCTTTATTATGTAGCAATCTCATATGTTCATCAACTACTCGTGAGCGTGCGAGTGATTCCTACTCGCTTAAGCCAAACCGAACCACCCAATCAAGACTACTTAGTCAACTAAGTACTTTATATATATATATATTCCAACTGCTAAATATGCCTTATACTCTGCGCATTGACTTGACTAATCCGTCGCAAAAAGTAAGGAAATAACATTGCTCAAGTCTGTAGTATTCGGGTAGTAATTTACATAGGCCTAATTGCGATTGACGTAAATACTCTGTAGATGTAAATAGAATTGTAACGTACCAACAGCAAGTTGGAGGGCCAAAATGTAACAGTGAGGAACACGTGTTTGTTTAAATCGTCTGGTACAATACCATTATATCATCTTCCTGATTGAGGAACGAACATTGCAGAAGTTGGGCGGCACGCTGGCTCAGTGGTTAGCACTACTGCCTCATCAGCGCCAGGGATACGTGTTCTATTCCAACTTGAGGCGACTGCCTGCGTCGAGTTTGTATGCTCTCCCCGTGTCTAAGCGGGTTTCCTGCTGGTGCTCCGGTTTTCTCCCACAGTCCAAACATGTGGATGATAAATTGCCCATGGTATCCAGGGATGCGTAGGTTAGGTGCATTAGCGAAGGGAAATGTAGATTTACTGGGATAGGGAATGGGGAAGGAAGAATAATTTCCTTCCTCCTACATCCGAGAAGCGTGCTTTCAAATATTCATTTTAGTTGAAATATTTTCGCATGCGCTTTCTTCAATCTTGCAAACTATTTTTGACCAAATTATGGTTATGTGCACGTTGGGAAAACTTGATCTTTATTGGACAACAACATCACTGGAACTCTGTATTCTTTTCCCAGCTATTAGCATTACTTCCTTTGATCACTCACTTAAATTCCCCTTTGACCTTGTCCATTTAGGCCTCCTGCCGTACTTCAATGAAGTTTGACAAGCAATGATGCAGTTTCAAAACGATAATTTGAAGGAATTGTGGTTTGAAAGGATTAAGAAGCTAGCAAGGGGTGAAGGCAAGAAGATGACATTGTAATTGTGAAGTATTCTCTATTAAATGCCTCAATATAGCTTAATAGGTGCAAGTTGATATTTGGACTCTGTCCAAGGTTAGAACAAGTCCTGTACAAATTTCAATCAGGTAAATTTTAGGTTACAAGTTTACCAGGATATCATTCATTTTAAAAGTGTCAGAACGCCAGATTGAGATTTCAGTGGGCTCATGTAGAAGTAGAGGTGGCCAATTGAGTGGTGCTGCAGGTATTTATAACAGACAGGGGAATTGAGTTTAAGAGCCGTGAGGTTATGCAGCAGCTCTATGAAACTCTGGTTAGACCACAATTGGAATATTGTGTTCAGTTCTGGCCGCTTCATTGTAGAAAAGATGTGGAAGCTTTAGAGAGGGTGCAGAGGAGATTTACCAGGATGGTGCCTGGACTGGAGGGCAGGTCTTATGAGGGGGGTTGAGGAAGCTAGGGCTTTTTTCATTGGAGCGAAAAAGGATGAGCGGTAACTTGATAGAGGTGTACAAGATGATGAGAGGCATAGATACAGTGGATAGCCAGAGACTTTTTCCCCAGGGCGCAAATGACAATTACAAGGGGGCATAATTTTAAGGTGATTGGAGGAAGGTATAGGGAGATGTCAGAGGTAGGTTCATTACACAGAGAGTGGTTGGATGTGAAATGCGCTGCCGGCAGTGGTAGTGGAGTCAGATACTTTAGAGACTTTTGAGCGACTCTTGGATAGGCACATGGAGGATATTAAAATCTAAGGTATGCTGCGTAGATTGATCTTAGTAGGATAATAGGTCGGCACAACATTGTGAGCCAAAGGGCCTGTACTGTGCTGTACTGTTCTATGTTCTGTGTTCTATGTTGTATAAAGTTAAGGCATATGCCAAGTAAGTTTTAAGCCATTCAGTGCTGGCTGAAACAGTGGCGAAATGAAGAAAGCGATAAGGGTGCATTGTCTGCCAGAAGGGCCAGACAAGATACATTTAGCATTCTTAATTTGTAATGGAGGAATTATTACTCACCAAGTTGGAACGGTGGGTTCGTAAGTTTGCCGATAACACGAAGGTTGGAGGAGTTGTGGATAGCGTGGAGGGCTGTTGCAGGTTGCAACGGGACATTGGCAGGATGCAGACCTGGGCAAAGAAGTGGCAGATAGAATTCAACCCAGAAAAGTGTGAAGTGATTCATTTGGAAGGACGAATTTGAATGCAGAATACAGGGTTAATAGCAGGATTCTCGGCAGTGTGGAGGAACAGAGGGATCTTGGGGTCCATGTCCATAGATCCCTCAAAGTTGCTACCCAAGTTGTAAAGAAGGCGTATGGGATGTTGGCTTTCATTGGCAGTGGAATTGAGTTTAAGAGCCATGAGGTTATGCTGCAGCTCTATAAAACCCTGGTTAGACCACAATTGGAATATTGTGTTCGGTTCTGGTCGCCTCATTGTAGGAAGGATGTGGAAACTTTAGAGAGGGTGCAGAGGAGATTTACCAAGATGCTGCCTGGACTGAAGGGCAGGTCTTATGAGGAAAGGCTGAGGGAGCTAGGGCATTTTTCATTGGAGTGAAGCAGGATGACAGGAGACTTGATAGACATGTACAAGATGATGAGAAGCACGGTTAGAGTGGATAGCCAGAGACTTTTTTTTTCCCAGGGTGGAAATGACTATCACGAGGGGGCATAATTTTAAGGTGATTGGAGGAAGGTATAGGGAGATGTCAGAGGTAGGTTCATTACACAGAGAGTGGTTGGATGTGGAATGCGCTGCCAGCAGTGGTAATGGAGTCAGATGCTTTAGACACTCTTAAGCGACTCTTGGACAGGCACATGGATGATAGTATAATGTTGGGTATACAGGGTAGTTTGATCTTAGTAGGATAATAGGTCGGCACAACATTGTGGGCCGAAGGGCCTGTACTGTGCTGTGCTGTTCTATGTTCTATATTCTATGTAAGTTCAAAAGTAAGTTTGTCAGTCTGATATTAACAACAGAGCAACTATTTTGAAGATGGTCGGAAAAGGGTAAATTTTCTGCCATCAATGTATAATTTAACTCATGTCTGTGGTTGATAATTCAAACGGCATAATGCCTCAGGGGAGGCAGTGGCACTCTAAGGCTTTCTTGATCTCTCTTAATGTGTTTTGCTTGGCTCCATGTCACTTGTTTTGTCTCATATATTTCTCAGGGCCTCATGAGGGTTAACTAAGTAAATAGTGAGATATAAATAGAAGTTGTTCTTTATGATGATAGATAAGTCATTTAAGTCACTGTCAAATATAAATATCCATTTCAATGAACAAAATATTTGGATTTCATTCTGGCGAACAATGCATAGGATAGATTATTTTGACTTGATGCCAAGCCTTAGAATGAATAGTGTCTCCAGAAGGATAAGTTTATAATTCTTCCTTATATTTTATCAATTTTACCTAAATTCTTACAAACCCTCCAGCATGGAATGTAAGCTGTAGGTCTACATGGGTTTATTATACTGATCAACCATCTGTTCTCTGACTTAGAGTCAATACAGTGTGAAGCTGGACGAACACAGCAGGTCAGGCAGCATCAGAGGAGGAGGGGAGTCGAAGTTTCCAGTCAGGACCCTTCATCAGGACTGGGCCAGTACTTCATCAGCACTGTATTGACTCTGACTCCAGCATCTGCAGTTCTTGCTTTCTCTGATAAGTTTGCCAACTGCCTGTTAAGTTAGAAAACTGTTCATTTCTCTGGAAGGAAGGATGACACATGTCATCCATTGTCGTCATCATTTTATCATCAATTTATTTGTGAATGACGTAAAGGCCAGTTTTCAATGTCTTCGTGCAAGTTTCTCTGTTTGCTTCACAAACAGTATCTCATTAGTTCTCCTGACCTGGCATCCTTTTCCAAACATGGATGCAATAGTTGAACGAAAGCATTGAGATGAGTGTCAAAGCCCTTGAGACTGAAGCAATAGTTGACTGCATCAAGGAGATCAATGGAAAAGCCTTGGGCAGTGTGAAATATATTCAAAAGCTCTCCATTAGTTGGAGTTATGCCTTGCACAAAGCAACGTGGTTGTGTTTTCTGGAGCACTGTCGCATTATACCCAGAACTTCCTTAGAATAGATCATTTCTAATCAACATGTGCGGAGATATTGTTACACACATCTGGGCACATATGACTTGAGCCCATCGTTGTGGTCCAGAGGTAGAGACACTACCACTGCACCAAAAGAACTCCCACAAGCTCCTCAGTATATTGTACAAGGTTTAACATCCTCACCTGCCTCGTCAATGGCCTTCCCAGCAACAAAATTTCAGAAATTAAGATGTTCACTGAAAAATGCATAAAGTTCAGCACCATTCATAACTCCCCCAACACTGAAGCAGTCAGTCTCCATATGCATATAGATCTGGCCAACATTCAGACTTGGATTGATAAGTGAACGATGACATTCACACCACGCACTTGACAGGTAATGTCCACCCTCAAGAAGAAGAAAAAAAAAATCAAAGAATCTGCCTTGTAGGTCAATGGCATTATCATCACGAAATGCTGTACTATAATTATACTTGGCGTTACCATCGACTACAATCTGAACTTGACCAACAATCTGAACACTGTAGTTACAACAGTGGGTCAGAGACTGAAAATTCTGCAGTGAGAAACTGACTTCCTTTCTTTCCAAAGCCTGTCCACCATAGACAAAGCAGGAGTCAGGAATTTGATGGAAGACTCTGTACTTGCTTGAATGAATGCAGCTCTGACAGCACACATCTCAACACCATCTGGGCCAAAGCAGGCCGTTTGAATGACACCTCATCCGTAACATTCAACATTCACTTCTTCCACTATGGTTGCATCGTAGCAGCAGTGTGTACCATCTGCAAAATATACTACAAAACTCACAAAATGTTTCTTTGTCATCAACATCCAAAATCACACCCACTATCACCTATAAGGTATAAGGCAGCAGCTTCAAGGGAGCCCCTCAACAAGTCACAAGCCATCCTAATTCGTGCTCCTTTCCTGCCTATAGTTCAAGCTCCTGGCACCCCATTCCTAACAGTACAGTGGAAGTCCATACATCACATAGAGTGCAATAGTTCAAGAAGGAGATTCATTAGCGCATTCTCCGTTAAGATCAAGGACAAGTAATAAATATTGCCTTTGCTAGCAACACTCACATTCATCACAGAACAAAAATAAGATGGAAATCCAATTTACTAACCTTGAATATCAGGATAAGCAGCAACTTTTAGTTGGTTCACTCAAGTGTTCCATTGTAACTTTTTGCGGCCCAAGGCTTTGATTCTAAATGAAACTTGAGACTATTGGGCGACAATTTTCAATGTTAACAACCTGCTTGAATGTGTTTTGAAACTGAGTTTTCAACTTGGACAAAACTCTGCAGTGATATGTTGAGAGGAGTCATGGAATGCACTGAGTTTTCATTCCTCTCTAACACCCAGATTTCTCAAAGAGTAGAATTCTTCTTAATATTCAGGATTGTTTTTCCGCTCACAATACTAATTTCAGATAATCTATTGCTTACCCGCTAATCATTGACTCAGGGTAAATAAAATTCATTAATCTGTGTTGATATTTGGTTTTTATGTGATAACCTTGGCTCGATTATAATACTCAGCCACTAAATTAGTAGATTGAGGTTTCACATCCTGCTCATAGATCTACACTGACACTCTAATATTTGATTGACACCATATCCCTAACATTCAACATTCAGTCCCTCCACTATGGGTGCACAGTGGCAACAGGGTGTGCCATCAACAAGACTCCTTAATCAGCACTGATTTGTTAGACAGAGATTCTGTCTGGTTCATTTAATTGTAATTTATGAAAAGGTGACTAAGTGTATTGTTGAGGTTGGTGCAGTTGATGTGGTTTACTTGGATCTCAGTTAGGCACTTAACATTGTCTCATCTGGAAGGCCAGTCCAAACTTAACAGCCCATGGGATTTAAGGGAAGTTGGCAATCTGGATCCAAAACTGGCTTACAAACGGGAAGCAAAGGATGGTGGTGGTGGATTCTTTTGTAATTGGAAGCCTGAGACCAGGAGGGGAGGTGATGGCCTTGTAGTATTATTGCTAGATGGTAGATGGCAGAATTTGAATTCAATAAATAGCTTGAGTTAAGAATCTAACGATGACCGAGAATCCATTGTCGATTGTTCGGGGGAAAACCCATCTGGTTCACTAATGAACTTTAGGGAAGGTAACTCTGGCCTACATGCGACTCCAGACCCACAGCAATGTGATTTACTCTTAACTGTCCTCTCATTAATTAGAGTTAATAAATTTGTGGATGAGACTACAATATTGATAGGGAGGCAGATGATCTCAGTCCGATATTGGTCAGCTGATAAATTGACCAGAGCAATGGTCATAAGTGTCAGATGATGAATTCTGGGAGGTCTTATTCTAATAAGGGAAGGATATACACAATGTATGGTCGGTCCTTATGGTGCACTAAGTAACAAAGGGGCCTTGGTGTATACGTCTAGAGATCCCAGAAGGTGTCAGTGCAGATAGACAGGATAGTGAAGAAGGCACATGGGATGTTTGCCTTCAATATCTGGGACACAGAATATAAGATCAAGGAAGTCTTCTTACAAATTCATCAAACACTAGTTAGGCAACAGGTGGAATACTGTTTGCACTTCTGGTCACCACACATTTGGAAATATGTAACTGCACTGTCGAAGATGCAGAGGAGACCCACCAGGATGATGTCTGGAATGAAAATTCTCAGTAATGAGGAGAGATTTGACAGGCTGGGTTTACCTTGGAGCAGAGGAGGCTGATATGGGATAAGTTGGGGGATCTGTTTGAGATACACAAATTATCAGAGGCATAGACAGAGTAGATCGTGCAAATCTCTTCTCCATAGTAGACATATCTATGACCAGAGGCCATAAATTTAAGGCAAGTAGTTTAGAGGAGATCTTAGGATTTGTTTTTTTTCACTCGGAGAGTGTAGGACATTTATAGAATGTGCTGCCTGAGAGGATGGTGGAGGCAGGTACTCACAACCCTCAGGAAGCGTTTGGATGAGGACTTACAATGCCAGGGCATAGTAGGCCATGCACCAAGTGCAGGTAATGAGACTAGTGTAGTTTGTTATTGGTTGGTCAGAATTGTCAGCGATCAGAAGAATCTGTTTCTACGCTGCATGACTCTATGACTGTGTGACTAATACTGAGCAAGTGCATTTTATCAGAGTTGTCATCTTTCAGATGAGTCAGTCAACCCAGGTATACTTGTCTCCTGGATATGAATTATTCCACGGGGTATATAAAAGAGAATAAGGGAATTCTTAATAAGGGAATTTTCTGAAGAAGGGTCCAGACCCGAAACGTCAGCTTTCCTGCTCCTCTGATGCTGCTTGGCCTGCTGTGTTCATCCAGCTCTACATCTTGTTATCTAAGGGTATTCTACCTGTTGACCTCAAATAACTTAACAAAAGAGGTTTTCTGTGCTTTCAATGTTTCAGTTCGTTTTTTTTTTAGTGGAAGTTTGCTCCATCGGAGAAATCTTGCGTAGTTTTCAGCGCCGTCGCGACTCTTTGACTTTTGGGCACGTTGGCCGAGAAATCCTTCTGGCGACGGCTAAGTAAACATGAGGGGGTTACGTCGTCGTAGTGCCCCTGTCTCTGAGCTACGTGACTGTTGTGTATAAGTCCCACCTACTCCAGAGGTGCGTAATAACATATCCTAACAGGCTAATAAAATAAAGATCTAATTCAGAACGAAGATTTGTCGAAGTTCTGAGATCGTCCATGTGGGGAGTGGGGAGGAGGGAGAAGCTCATTGAAAGCATGGCTGCAGCTGTGGTCTGCTGAGGGCGGTGAATCCGGTGTAAATGGTAAGAACGGGGGGAAGGCTCGAAACAGAAGGTAGTTGTTGATCGCGATTTTAGATGGCCCAGAGGCGTGAACGCTGACCCAACGTTTACTTCTGAGAATTTCTTCCCCGGCCCCCGGCAAGATTCCGTCAGTGACTGCTATTTTTTTTTCTCTCGGTTACTCTTGTTTAAAGTGACCTGCAAAAGAAGCAAGGGTGAAAGTGATTGAGAGATAGTAGGAACTGCAGATGCTGGAGAATCTGAGATAACAAGGTGTAGAGCTGGATGAACACAGCAGGCCAA